AAAGGGATTCTCCAGTGCCAGGAAAACATATTAGTTTTCCTGGCACTGCAGGACCTGCTAGTGCCCCTGCACTTCCTACCCCCCATCCCAAGTTGCTGAAGCGGTTAAAACCCCTTCAGTGACTTACTAGAGGCTCCGTCCAAGCTCCTCTCCCACCGGCTGACGTCTACTGTGCATGCGCGGCCGTCGGCGGGGGAGACCTAATGTGCATGCGCAGCAATGGCCGCGCACGCGCATTAGACCTCCCCATAGGAAAGCATTGAATAATGCTTTCCTATGGAGATTTCGGCGACGCTGGAGGCCCTCACATAGCGTTAGGACCTCCAGCGTCGTTTTAAACCACTTTTTGTGTGCTAAGAACACGGAAGTGTCCTCTAGTGGCTACAGCCACTAGAGGAGGACTTAACTCTGCAATGTAAATATTGCAGTTTATGAAAACTGCAATAATTACACTTGCAGGGTTAAAGGACCACTCTAGGCACCCAGACCACTTCAGCTTAATGAAATGGTCTGGATGCCTGGTCCAGCTAGGGTTAACCCATTTTTTTATAAACATAGTTTCAGAGAAAGTGCTATGTTTACAAATAGGTTAATCCAGCCTCTAAAGCCTCTAGTGGCTGTCTCATTGACAGCTGCTAGAGGCGTTTGCGTGCTTCTCACTGTGAAAATCACTGTGAGAAGAAGCAAGCGTCCATAGGAAAGCATTATGAATGCTTTCCTATGAGACTGGCTGAATGCGCGCGCAGCTCCTGCCACGCATGCGCATTCAGCCGAAGAGGAGGAGAAGAGGCAGAGAGGAGGAGGAGAGCTCCCCGGCGCTGGAGAAAGGTAAGATTTTAACCCCTTCCACTCCCCAGAGCCCGGCGGGCGGGGGTCCCTGAGGGTGGGGGCACCCTCAGGGCACTATAGTGCCAGGAAAACGAGTATGTTTTCATGGCACTATAGTGGTCCTTTAAGGGTAGTGGGAGTTGGCACCCAGACCACTCCAATGGGCAGAAATGGTCTGGGTGCCTGGAGTATCCCTTTAACAAAAAACCTGATCTGCAATTTACAAAACGGTATATATGTGAACCAAATAAAAAAAAGAGAAAAATCACTGGTGTACAAGCACATAGAAAAAACAGGCAAATATTTTGTTTCCATTATGGGCATTCCTTTCACCTCCATTATTCTCTATGGGCATTCCACTGCCTTGTTAAAGTCTATGGGCATTCCAATCGGCCATTCCTTTTAGTATGACCCAAAGCTGATCTGTTCTTTAATGTACAGCCTTGCTAAAATGCATTGGTCATTAAGGGGTTAATGAATTACATTGTTATCCTGTACACAGATGTTCTATCGATTTTAACAGAACACCGGCTGTGACACACTTTGACTGCCACTGCACATACACAACTATGAAACTTTTTTGTAAGCGTAAACACAAATCTTACAATAAAATGTAATAGTGATTAAAACACATTACAATCTACGATTTTATTGAACATGTAAAACATATTTTACTTTTAGCATCTCACCTGCAAACCTAGATGCAGTAACTTTGGTTTCTAAGAATGACGCTCTTTGATGAAAGGTAAGCGTTAGTGCCCAAGCACAGGATCTCCGAAAAGCTAAGGACGCCATCTCTAATCCTATGTGTCTCCCCGACAGGACAGACCTGCAAAGCAACGCGAGAACCTCGTCGATACGCATGCGGAAGGAAGAGAACTGTGCATGTGTTTGTTATAGTGCTGTTGCAGGGATTCTACTCATCACTTGGGAAATAAGGCCACAAAGCGGCAGTGGGCAAATAATAATTGTGTATTTCAAAATTCATACATGATGGAACGACTTTTGCACAAAGTATTACTCTGTTATCTGGCAGATAAAAAAGTTACTTGCGTCTCTTTAAAGTGTTAATTAATATAGCAATGTATTTCCCTGAAACGTGTAACTGTCCCCACATTTACATTTTTCAAATATTTTTGGTTTGTGTCATGTTTTTGATATTACCTACAAACAGTCATTTTGGTATGTGCGTGATCCAATTCTGGAATGGTAAACTAACATGGCATTAAAATGAAATTATCCAAAATTGAATTAAATAGTGCTGAAGAACTACCAATCAAAACGCATACTTGCACACTATTCTGGTACTTAAACTCCACCCCGTTGCTATTATATAGAGTCTAAAGATCAGTGTAAGAATAATTACTAGGTGGCAAGACATCAAACCAGTTAAAGGTTATCTGTACCTGTAATTAGCAAATTCTTGATCAAACGCACTGTATAAAGGGGGTTTATTAACAAAGCATTGAATTGCAGAAAATGTAAAACTGAAATGAACAAGTTAAAGTAACACTATAGTCACCCAGCAGTGAAGTGATCTGGGTGCATTGTTCCTATTCTCTTAAAGTGAACCCGTTATGAGAAAAGCAATTTACCTTACATCGCTCCCATAAACGTTGACTACCCCATATATCATAAAGAAACATGGTGTGTTCAATGTAAAATTTAAAGATTTACCATCTTTTCCTCCATTTTCTTCATGTAACACCCACCTCCGGACCGTCCACATCACCTCTCTTCTTCTTTGATTTGCCCTGCTTGGAACATATCCCTAAGCAGGGCAAACGACAGAACACTGGCTGTGGCGAAAGTAACCCCACCACTGGTTCTTGGAGGGGCCTGTATGCCAGCCTCCTACCCTGTGACTATGGCCCCTGTGATAGGACTTGGTTAAAACCACTGTTTGGGCCTTTTGGACTTCTGACATTATTTATTCAGTGACACTTCGAACTCCCAAACGGTCGAAGTGGTTCGAAACGGCACTTTAAATACGTGGTGGCAGCCATCTTAAGCCACGAGTACAATGAGCAGTGTTTGGTCGTTGAGTTCATGGAACTTATATCGGACACTCGACGGCATGAACACTGCTAACTATTTACCTTCCATGGATGTTTGGCTATTCGAATGGGTGTCGAACCACACTCCGTATTTTGTGTGCACTTCGAATCCCCGAAGTAGACCGACCGCACAACTTAATTATCTGGAACTATTTTGGGCATGGAACCATGCATGCGGTTGGTCAAAATGTGACTTCCAGGAAATTCCTGAACCCCTGAACTGATCTGGCTGATTTTAGGATATGTTGGTCACCCAGATCAAGGCTATCAGAGGATGTGACATTTGTGGGGATATTATGTGTTTTTGGGGTACTTTTGTGTGTTTTTCTGCCTGGAGATAATTGGGTTAATTGGCTCAATTATCTCCAGGCAGAAAAAAACACACATTCCTATAAAGTCCCAAAAGTACCCCAAAACACACATTATCCCCACAAATGTCACATCCCCTGATAGCCCTGATCTGGGTGACCAACATATCCAAAAATCACCCAGATCAGTAAAGGAATTTCCTGGAAGTCACATTTTGACCGACCACACGCATGGTTCCATGCCCAAAACAGTTCCAGAGAATTAGGCTGTGCAGTCGGTCTACTTCGGGGATTCGAAGTGCACACAAAATACTGAACACCGTTCGAATAGCCAAACATCCATGGGAGGTAAATAGTTAGCGGTGTTTGTGCTGTTGAGTGTCCGATTTGAGTTCCATGAACTCGACGACCAAACCCCGTGTAACGGATCACATGGCAACCTGACTGGGTACCTCCGTTAAAGGATGCTCCTAGCATCAGAGGCGGCTCTCTAATTAGGCGATTTAGGCGGCCGCCTAAGGCCTCGCGCAGTCAGGGGCCTCGCAGCCACCTAAATCGCCTGAGGGCAGACTTACATGTCGGGTCCTCGGTCTAAGACCGAGGACCCGACACAGGAGGGGGCCCGGCGGCTTGCACTTTGTGCCGCCGGGTGCGAGGCCCCTCCTGTCAGTCTGCCCGGGGAGAGAGCCAGCCTCGGTCTTCAGCTCCGCCGGGTGTGAGCTGCGGACTGAGGTGTCTCGCGCTCTCCAGCCAATCAGAGCGTTGCCGCGGGTTACCACGGCAATGCTCTGAATGGAGATCGCGAGACAATCCCCATGTGGTCTGCAG